GGCTTTTCCTGCGATCCGGGGCCCAACAGCGCCCCCTGCTGGCCAACCCCGAGCACTGCAGGCCCCGCCCCTCCAGGGATCCAACAGCTCCTGCCAACCGGGATTGGAATTGCACCAGAGGACAGAGAAGAATCAAACTGCTTCCTTTTTTTGAAGGGCACTTTTTGGGTACAGGATTATTGTTTAGTTGGTTTTGTGTTCTTTTCCTGTTTTTGCCAATACACATGTATCCTTTAATAAAGGGTTGTTATTCCTTCCTTTTTTCCATACTTCCTCGATTGGAGCCTCTTAATTTTGGATTTACAATTGCGGAGAGAGAGGAGTTTGGTCTACTTCATAACTCATCCTCCTTAGCAAAACATTCCAGTCTCTTTAAACTCAGACAGGAGGGTAGTGGAGTGGTTTCAACAGGCCCCTGGCATCTGGCCAGGGTCAAACCACGGTACAAGGGGAACCAGGAGGATGTGGAGACCCCGTCATGGGAGAGTGGAAGGTTCAGACTAAGTTTTAAAAAGCAAAGCCTTGCCAGAGAGTCTGGAGGTGCAGGAAGGACTCCCTGGCTTTCTGAACTCCTTCCCAGGGAAGGGTTTGGGTGCAGCTGAATCCTCTCTTAGCCCCGGAATGTGTTTGAATTTAAAGGAATTACAGAGCTCTTAAACCACTTTGTCCTGCAGGTTTTAATGATGGCAAAACAAGAATGTTTATATAAAATGAAGAATGTACTTTATACAAATGATCAGACAAAAACCTTAATCAGAGCTATTTACTGCATAACAGAAACACTAAAACAATACAAACACTAAAATACTACTAGTAGAGTCTAATATAACATAAAGTAGTAAAGGGCACTGTAACAAAGCATTTATTGAAGCAGTTCTATTAAAGCTGGAAAACAGAAATAATTATTAAGTAGAGATCTGATGTAACTCACCCAGACCAACGCTCATGGGGAGATCTCTTTCTCTCAGCCTCGAGGAGTGACCTTGGAGGGCGTCCCCAGCCAGGGGAGGAATCTCCACACACCCCCCAGGGAGGGTTTTGTCAGAAAGAACCCAACTGCATGAGAGGGGACTGGACTTTTTATAGGATAAAGTGATTGAGTGCCAGGCCCGCCTTTCCTGGCCAGCTCTCAGCTTCTCTGTAAACTCAGACTTCAACCAGCAGGGTGTGTGTTCAACCTTGGACCAACCAGGATGGTTTTAGCAGAGTTAACACCGAGACAACACCCTGGCTCCAGCAGCTGATCTTGCGTGACAGCTTGATGATGAGCTTGATTGGACCTTGGGTCTGGTCAGGCTGGGACTATCCTGCCACAGTCCACCAGCCAGGGGTCTTCCCAACGTGGGTCACTGGGAATGTGGGTCACCAAGCCTGTTCCCAAAGTGGATCCTCTGACAGCTGATGGAGTTGGAGCAGCAGATGAAGCTCCTCCCAGAGTCAGGGCACTTGCAGGGCTTCTCTTACTGGTGGGTCCATTGGTGTGTGGTCAAGGTAAAGCTCTGGGTGAAGCTCTTCCCACACTCCTTGCACTTGTAGGGCCTCTCCCCAGTGTGGATGCGCCGGTGCTTCATGAGGTTGGAGTTGCGTTTGAAGCCCTTCCCGCAGTCGGTGCAGCGGAAGGGCCTCTCATCCGTGTGCGTCCGCTGGTGCTGGAGAAGATGTGAGCTGCTCTGAAACCTCTTCCCACACTCAAGACATTGGTAGGGCCGTTCCCCAGTGTGGGTCTTCTGGTGCTGGGTCAGGTGGGAGCTGGCGCGGAAGCTCTTCTTACACTCCCCACACTTGTAGGGTTTCTCCCCCGTGTGCACGCGCTGGTGGATGACGAGTTCAGAATTGCATGCGAAGCTTTTCTTGCATTCCTCACATTTGTAGGGCCGGGGCCACAGTTCCCCGGTGTGGATCTGCTGGTGGCGGATCAGGTGGGAGCTGACGGTGAAGCCTTTCCCACATTCCTCACACTTGTAGGGCCGTTCCCCCGTGTGCACCCGGCGGTGGATGAAGAGGTTGGAGCCATACATGAAGGTCTTTCCACATTCCTCACATTCGTAGGGCCGTTCCCCAGTGTGGACACGCTGGTGAACAAGGAGCTTGGAGCTCCTGCAGTAGCTCTTCTCACAGCTGGGGCACTTGTAGGGCTTCTCCACGGCACTGACGCGCTCCTGCACCACCAGCTCGGAGCTCCGGCTCAAGCTCCGGCCGCCTTCCCGGCACAGGCTGCCTCTTTCCTCCTCACAGCACCCTGGGCTGGCTTTGGAGCCCCTCCTCCGGGGGGATCTCCGGGCCTTTTCCTCCCCGCTGCCTTCCTGTGCCGTGGAGCCGTTCAAAACGGCCTCTCCCACCAGGGTCTGCCGGGGGGATTTGTCCTCCGTGCTCTCCGTCCTCAGCTCGGGGCCTGGGGCAGGAAGGAAGGACAGGGAGGGGATTTGCATCTGGCCCAGAGGGAAGGGGGAGGAGAAGGAAGATGGAGAGGAAGGAGAGTAGAGGAGGAAGAAGAAGAGGAAGGAATATGAAGGGAAAGAACAAGAAGCAAAAGCAACAAGGAGAGGAAGGAAGGAGAAGGAAGGAAGGAGAAGGAAGGAAGGAGAAGGAAGGAAGGAGAAGGCCCAGAACTGGACACAGCACTCCAGGTGTGGCCTCACCAGTGTCAAGTACAGGGGAAGAACCACTGCCCTGGTCCTGCTGGCCACGCTGGTCCTGAAGAAGGAAGGAGCAAGGAGAGAAGGAATGATGAAAAGGAAGGAGAAGACGGAACACAGAGAAAAAGGAAAAAGGAGAGAAAGGAAGGAGAATGAAGAAGGAGAGAAAGGAAAAAAACATAAGAAGGAAGGAGAGGGAGGAACAAGAAGGAAGAAGGAAGGAAAAGGAACAAGGAGTGGAAGGAAGAAGGACAGGGAGGGGATTTGCCTCCGGCCCAGAGGGAAGGCCAAGGACATCCCCCCAAATCCGGCCCCGGCAGGACGGCGGCGGCAGCGGGGTTGTCCTGCAGCCGGGGGCGATGCTCGGCTGGGAGATACAGGACAAGACAGGGCAAAGGGGCACTGACTTCCTCCTCACCTGCCCGGGGGGCCCGCGGCATCTTCCTCTTCCTCGCAGCCTCCTTCATCTGGCCAAGCTTTGGGAAGGAGAAATCCTGCTGTGGGGGGGAAAAACAAGGGGGGAAATGCGTTGGGTTGGGGGCTCCTCCTGCCCAAGTCCATCTCTAGAAGTCACCAAGCACCTTGTGTCCATAAAAACCTCCTAAACACCAAGGTTCAGCCCAAGACAACCCCCCAGAACTCCAAGGTTCAGATCAAAAAAACCCTTCCAGGAGTTCCCCATCTCAATTCTCTCCACTTTGGGGTTCTGGGGGTCCCCCCTCTTTGGGCTGCTGGGGGTCCCACCTGTATTGGGGGTCCCCCTTCTCCAGGGTCCCGCCCTCTCTGGGCTGCTGGGGGTCCCAGGAATCCCAGGGGTCTTCCCACTTTGGTATTCTGGGGGACCCCCTTCTCTGGGCTGCTGGGGGTCCTGCAGTTCCCCCCTCTCCACGGTCCCCCTGCTTAGGGATGAGGGGGGTTTTGGAGGTCCCAGGGGTCCCTTCTCCCCTGACTCTTTGCTTTGGGGTGCTGGGGGTCTCAGAGGTCCCACCTTTCTGGGATCTCCTCCTCTCCACGCTGCTGTGGGTCCCAGAAATCCTGGGGGTCCCCCTTCTCTGGG